TGTTTATTGCACGAGTCATGGCTGACCAAAGCTCCCCTCCTTTCCATGTTGCCTTCCTTGCAGTGACCTCCACCATTCATTGCTTTAGTATTGGCTTCAGATTAGCTTTAGGAAGAATAGAGTTGCTAGATCCTAGACTAGCCACAAAATGCCTTTCTCTCTTACTCACAGAAGAATGCGGTTCTTCCTGGGAGTAGACTCCTTAGGTTGGGGATTTGCTCTCCCATGGCCTTTACTTAGTAATCCACAATCTAGCTTCTAGGTTTGTGGTGGAAATATTGGGTGCAAGTATGATTTTTTTTTTTTGTTACTGTTATTAAGTAATTTCTTATGGTTGGTGAAATCGTGCATACTTGGGTTTTTTGTTTGTTTGTTTTTGTTTTGTTTTGTTGTCACTTTAAGAATTTAACTACGAACTTTCTTTTTAGTTTTCCCAGGACCTCAAAGAGCTCTTTCTATCTGCGAGTTTGAGCCTTTCATTTTAAATACTGATTTTTCATGTCAAAGGACTGCTCCTCCTTCCATCTGGTCTTTATTCTTCTCTCCAAATTTGCTCTTTAGGTCCTTGAATTTGTTCTCAGAGTCCTCTATTTTTCCTCATGAATTGCATCTTTTCCTCTGTTTGCTCTGTGTTATGAGCTTGTCTTCTACTTGGTCTTCCAAACATCCAATTCTTACTTCAGCATTGACTCCCCTCAACTCTCCGTTTCTTGCAGATTTTTTAAATGTGGGAACTATATTATTCAAGTAACAAGAAGCCTTTTAATCCTGAAATTGGATCTACTTTAGGCTCTTATAGGTATTTGTTTGTTTGTGTAAGATGTCCTCTCTTTCCCAGCAGGTCTATTTCCTCAAAGGTTGCCTGCCAGTTATGAGCATTCAGCCCACACTTCCTTTTGCTGGCTGTTGAACTCTGTACAGGATTCTAGCATCTCTTTTCCTTGTGGAAGTTAAGTTGCCATAATCAGCCACAGCACACTGTAGCATGGCAGGAGCCCTCATTGTTGGCTGGTGACCTAGTGACCTGAAAGTTGCCATCTCCCTGCTGGGGCCCTGCAAAGTCACCTCTGAGCTCCCAGCCCTCAGTATCCTCACTCTCCCAGGCCCCAGAATAAGAGGGAACCCAGTCCCTGTGTGGGCCTCCCATAGTTTTTCTGACCTCTGAAGTTATCCCCCTTGAAGACACAGGAGTACAAATGTCTCCCTCCTCCTAGGACTATTTGTGAGGCAGGCAGAACCTACAGGTCTCCCTTTGGCTCCCTCACCCCCAGCACAGAGCTTCAGGCCTGGCCTGAAGTGATCCCTGCCTTCTCACTATTCTCAGCGTTGAATGCTTCCCTGCTCTTTCCTCTTAGAATCTGGCAGAGCCTGAAGATCTGCAAGAAAGCAGGCCTCTGGGCTCTGCCTTTTGGCTGGGTCCCAGCTGCTGCCCTGCGTTGCACATGGAGGGAGTGGGGTCAGGGCTGGAAGGAGGGGTCGCAGGGATCCAGGCAGCTCTGGGAGTCCTTCTCAGGACAACAAAGAAGGCCTGGAGAATTTGAAATACGAGACCTATGACAGGGGTCTAGAAAAATACAATATATTCCAAGGGAAAAAAAAATGATGGATGTCAGAAACTAAGAAGCAGCAAATCCTGTAGAGTTTAAGACAGGGGAGAAAGGGAATAAAAGTGTAGCAAAAACTGATGGTGAGGTCTACCCTGGGGTCAGGGGGAAAGGGTACTGTGACCAGGGAGGTATAGGGAGCCTAGGAGATGAGGTGGTGAGATCACACCTACTGTTCACAGAGTTTACTCTGGAAGGGATGTCTTTGGACAATATTGCAGTAGGAAGAACACAGGCTCTTGAATATATATATATATATATATATATATATATATATATATATATATATATACACACACACACACACACACAAATACACATGTATGTATATATGATGTTATATATAACATAATCTGAGACACAGTGTTCTCATGGTCTCATATGTAATTCACAGAATTGTTAGTTTGATATGGTAGAGAAAGAAAAGCACCAAGCACGTGGTAGGCATGCAGTGAAGGCTACAATTCTTGCTCTTGCCTCTTATTATTAGATCATAGATTCCTTCAAAACAAAAACATCCCTGAATTCCTGAAACTCAGCATGGTGCAGCCTAATGACTCTTTCAGCAGTGCATGAGAGAGTCCTTTTGAATACGGAATCAGTGAAAGGGGTTCCTGGTGGGGTAGCAAGTAGTACAGTGAAAAACAAGGAGTAAAACAAAAAAAAAACCACCCAGCCCTAAGGTCAGGTTATAAAACTACATCCTCTGTGTTCTTTCCATCACGTCACCTTGTTTCTCCATAAAACTACATTATAAAACAACATTATAAAATGTCCTCTTGTACATAATGTGCTACTAAGCAAGTCATTTCCCAATTCCAGTGCTTCTCTTTCAAGATATTGAAGAAGCCCTTTGGCATGTGAATTATTCTAGTGTCTGGACATTGGCTTCGTAATTGTAATCATACTGGTTATATGCCAGTGGACTGTGTGATACATTTTGTCTCCCTCCCCATAGTTATCATCCACTAAGACATGTCTACCTCCTTTCTGCCTGTGGAGCATTCCTACAAGGATTATGGGGGTTGAGATGCATTTTAGGAAGAACTGAGATAGGATCGTGGTGGGGGGCTGGGACAAGAAGATCCTGCTGGTCGTGACACAAGTCTGGAAGGCTTTTTCAACCAGGCAGGCAAAGAGCTGAGGTGACAGGAAGTGTGGAAAGTTGGAGAAAGATTTCAGAGGTACTCAAGAGGTGGTGACAAAGAAAAACTAGCAGGGTTATAATTCTGTTGTAGAGAAAAGAAGGGGAAAATAAAAATTGAATTTGGGGCTTTCCAGAGAGCTTTCTAGGTAAAGAGGATGTTTGACCGGTATTTAGAAGATTGGATTATTTCTCCAAGGCACTCAGTTTTCCCTACTTTCTGCTCTCATGAATGGTGCAACCCAAGGGGGCAAGCCTTCCTAGGATAAATTAGCACTTAGCTCTTGCAAAATCACCAACCCCCAAAAAACAGAACAAAACAAAAAACACTGAAAGTTTTCCCAACTAATACTAGTGAAGCAGGTCATTTCCACATACAAAGATTAGTTGATAAACTGAACGCTCCTAAAGAAAATCTACTTTCCCTGAAAAGAAAGAGCATGAGCTATGAAGTCAGATGGTCCTTTTCTTTCCCCTGCCTCTATTAGGTCATCACTGAACTGTCCCCATGTGTCCTCATCTGTGATGATCGTTAGTGATATAATTCATATAAAGCAGTAGAGGTCCTAGCATATAATATGTGCCCCTAAAACATTAGCCACTAGTATTAATTAATGTTATTTCTCAGAAGTAGAAACTTCTTTAGCTATGGAAAGCTTTTATAGAAATGGCTTAACAGTAGTTTAATAGAAATGGCTTAAACATACATATTTATAGTATATAGATTTGTTGGACCCTACAGCACTATCTTAATAATTACAAATACATTGTCCGCGTCAAATATTAGTGTATGGATGCAATGATTATAAGGAATAATGTTGTTAAATAATATGTAGTATTTTATATTCTCAAAAATTAATGCTGAATCTAACTTTATATTTAAAATGTGGCCTCTTTTTAAAATTGGAAAGCTAAAAATATCAGGATTTTAAAAACTCTTCACAAGTTAATAAACAAAAAAAAGAATGAAAAAATATCAAATTTATATAAAAGGCACAATTTATTAATATAAAGGACATAAAGCACATACATATATATATATATATATATAGTCATTTAAGCTAGAAAAATATGGATACAAACTTTCAAAGTGAATTATCAGTTGCATCAGGTTTGGGGGAAACACAAAGATATAGTATTTCTCTATACCTTAGTAAGACTGAATAAAAAATGGAATAAGTAAAATATTTACTTTTGATGGGATTGAAATGACAATTTGAACTCAGTATCTACCGATATCTTAGGAGCAGATAGAGTATACAAAGAATAAATTGTTTTTGTTTTTTGGTAAGCAACTAAAAACTAAGACATATTATTGTCCTATCCTGTTATTTATATTAATAAAAACCCAAAGTCTATATTCAAATAGTTACGAAAATATTCACGTACATACATGATTTCTTGTCAAAATGTATCCTTCCCTGACCATAAAAACTTCAGAGGAAAAAGAAAAATTCACTTTCCTGAAGTCTTTAATGTTTCTTAGACTATGGTTTTATCTTTCTTCTTAGTATAGCCCTGGAAAAGCAGTTTGAATGCAAAGCCCCTTGACAAAATATCTGCCTTCTAAAAGATGTTCATTTAATATACAAGAAAAGAAAGGCCTCTGGGGAAAGAGGATAAAGGAGTTAGGATTTCTAACTTCTAGGTTGAAAAACAAGATATCAGAAAGCCATTTATTTTCCTTTACGCTGCTGATTAAAGCCTTCATTTTAACCTTTGTTATAAATCGAGCACGTTAATCACTAAGCTGTTTTTACACAATTAATATTAACATTCTTCAATCTTTTCCCCGACTCCCCTGAAAAGCAATAGTTGTTGGATTTTATTTATTCAGTGTATTGAATCAGTATTTCATTTAAAATAGAACCCTGTAAGCCTGTCTCTATTTATGTGAGATATAAACATCATGCTGATCTATATACATAATGCTGTGTCATAGAGAAATCACAGCTGTAAAATAATACAGCCTTTAACAATGTCGTTTTGAAGTAACTGGTGAAAGGAAAAGATGCATGAATCATTTTAGAAAACATATTATTGCACTTCCTAGAACAATCAAAGCACTGGGTGTAATATCTCATTCTGCGAAATAGCTTATAGAATCATAAATAGCCAATGCTCAGTTCCTGTAATTAATGTTAGGCAATTAAGAATGGCAAATCAATGTTCCTTTGGGTTCCATTTTTAGAAAACAGTGGGCATTTCAGCCATTTGCTGGCTTTATCAGTAAAGTTAGAAACTAGACCCAACTACACATACTGACTTCTGGAGTACACGCTCGGTGACTTCTTTTCCATGTGATAGCTTTTCTGGGTTGTGCGATGGGAAGGGACAGAGTATCTGTAGCTTCGGCTCTTTTCACTGTAACAGGAAACACAGCAGAACAGTGCCCCTCCAGCGATCAGCACCAGCGCCGTGGTCCAGCCTATGTAGAGAGCATCTCCAAGCTCGTGCTTTTGGGCAGTCTCCACTATCGGGTTGTAGAACTCTCTGATGATGGAATTGGCAACCCAGCTCACCGGGATGAGCACCAGGATGCCTGTGACGATGAAGATGATCCCAGCCGTTAGCAAGATGTGACCCTTCACTTTCTCGTCGTCCCCAGTGCACCTGGTGCATTTCATGCCCAGGACAGCGGTCATGAAAGCCAGGAAGGAGAGCACAGAGGCAGCACACATCAGCCCTCTGGATGCCTGTAGGTCTGGAGAGAGAGCCAACAGGGAATCATAGACTTTGCATTGCATCCTGATGTTAGCTTGCCTCACGCAATTCATCCACAGTCCTTCCCAGAAGTTTTCAAAAACCACAATGTTGCTTCCGATGAAGGCAGACACTCTCCACTGAGGCATGATGGTGACAGCTAGCGTGCCCACCATGCCAACACCACCAAGCACCAGTCCAGCGATTTGCAGGGCATAGGTAGCCATTGTCCTCCTGGATGGGTTTTATCCCACCAAACTCCTGAGCCGGTAGGAGCAAGTTTCTCTGTGCCTCAGGAGAGAACAGTTTTCCTGTAGTAATGAACTCAGAGCCCAGTGGTTTTTCAGAGCTGCTTTGCTACTTCTAGCTGGATTAAATCCAGTGTTGGCTGGCTGAAGTGCCACCGCCGCCCCCCCCCCCCCCCCATTCACTAGGACAGGTAAACTTACAAATCAGGTGGGGCAACTTTCTCAGCCAATAAGAGGGGGATGGTAACCCAGGTGTGTCTAAACCGACAAGAGATACTTGGAACGACTGGACCTGCACATAAACATTCTTTGTAGTTCTCAGTTTTCCAAGAAGACAGCAATATGTTTACCTGCAGGCACAATTACGAGTGTTTGCACAATCATCAAGAAATGCACCAATCTCTTGCAACATCAAAGGTGTACTTTGTACAGGCAATTCTGAAACTCTTTATAAGAGCTTCTGTGACCAAGGCATAAAATAAAATAATCTGCCTAAGAAATTGGTTAGGACTGTCAGAATGCCAAAGTGAAAGGAGAGTAGGGGATTGATAGATTGCTCATACCTGGGAAACCACATTCTTTAGGACACATGTGATCTGAGTGGTTGATTTAATTGTGTCTACAATTTCAAAGCAAGCTTGACTGTGGTGAAATCAGGGAACTGATCACACCGAGGACAAAATAAGACGAAAGTAATTAAATATAAAGGTTGTTCTCCTCCATGGTACCAAACACATATTGTTCTCTTTTGAACCAGAAAAACTATTTGATTGGTACTTTCCTGATAATCTTGATTTATAAGAGAAACAGTCACAGAAACAATAAATTAATCCATATGATCTTCTTACGTAGCAAGCATGCGTGATAACAAGCAATGAAGTGATTTACAAATCTATCTTCTTTTGTGGCTCTATCTTTGCTGCTCTGTCTTCCTAGACTGGAGGAACTCGAATTCTGTAGATAGTACAAGAGCCCTGGGTCTATGTAATGGCTGATATTTCTATATGAAATATTTACAGGATAAGGTGACTGTGTTCTTGAATTGAATTGTACTACGTATTGACTAAACTGGTCTTTAATACCATGTCTGTAGGGGGAGATAGAAGCCCCTAAATGTAAAGCAATTTGGACTGTTTCTTCTCAAAATAATGGTGTTGACAGTGGTGGTGCAGAAATAAACATGCGTGTTGATTTGGTAAACTCCACTAGCAATTTTCCCCGGATATCCACTGGAGTGCCTTTCCTTTTCAAATCTTTTCAAATTTTGAGCTGTACTTTAATCTTATCTTTACATCATAAAAACAGTCTTTTCTTTACAATTTTACTTCTTCCCTGCTTCCTTGTATGACCTGAACTCTGAGTATGGGGGAAGGCGTTTCTTGCTCACTTATTAAACTTTAAAATTTTAATGGTTTCAAAAAATCTTGAGTAGTTTGCAGAGGTTATGGAAACAAAAGTGGTACACGGTAGGGAGGGGAAGAGGAAGATGCCAGAGTGAACTGTCTTTGGAAAAACAAATAAAACAAAAGAAATGGATAGTAGTCCAAACTGTTAATTTATTAGAGGGGACAGGTTGAAAGTTAAGAAATTAACACTTGATATTTGCAATAATTTTCTCATTTGTTGCCTTGTTAAGGACTAAACTATAGGGTGTTCCTTATGCTGACAGAACTATCTAGCATTTTCTCCTTCAGGCTTGTATCGGTTACAGATTTGTGATGGAGAGGGAAATAGGTTGATCTTGGAAAAATAATCTGTCATCCACAGTAAAACAGTTGAAATCAAAACAGCAGATTAATTTTTGTCTTTAATTGCCAATCTGGGAAAAGGAGTGGCATAGCTGGTTGAACCAATGACTAAATATAAATTACATAAATATTATACACACACATATACACACATATATATATATATATATATACACACATGTAGGGAATCAACTCAAAATTTCTTTTTTTAAATTCACATGTGACATATTTTTAGGAGCTCTGTTAAGATAGAGCTGAATATCCCCATAAAAATGGGAAAACTTGAGACAGGAACAGGAAATTACATACATGAGCTTCATAGGAGCTGCTTCCCAGGCTCACACCAATGGACCCGTTGACTTCGCGTACTATCAAAACTCTCCTTCCTTAAGCATTGAGCTGAACCTGGACCTTACTTCACAAAAAATATTTTTCTCATTTCAAAAATATTAGTACTCTACCACTGAAATTGTCCTGGCCAGAAGATTAGGATCAGAATGAGAAACCAACCCTGGGTTCACATTAGAATAATTATAGAGGTAGCTTGTCCTAGCAGAAACTAGCCCAGGGCATCCAGATAGGTTTCTTATCACACAGTGATCCAGCTAACCCCATGATATTTTGAAATAATTGTGCTCTAAAGGTCATAGGAAATGAGAAAGACAGAGAAAACTGGCAATACCAAGTTTGCCAGGGACAGAAAGGCCTAAATTCAGAGATTAAACAGTCGAGTTAACTGCTTACCTGCTTTTCTATAATATTATGTCTCTACGAAATGACTAACTTGCCTGCGAAATTCAGAAAGCAGTGATGGTTGGAGAATAAACACATTGATAACATTTTTGCTGTTCTTAAGTTCAGAACTGCAGAGCAACCAACACAGATAGTTCTATAATCTGTACTTCCATTTCTACGAAAGAAGCGAAAGACACCAAGAAGCTGTGAAAGAAAAGCATGCTCATGTTGACCCACTGTCTTCACTCTCTGGAGATCTCCCTTTTGTCTATATTATCAGAAGCATGATTTAAGTTTAGCAATTAAATTTACTAAATTAAATTCAGCCCTGATAACTACATAACACATGCGAATGCTTTCCCTTTATAAACGATAACACACAGTGTCACTATCAGACTGAACTTGGTTTTGTCATCCTTATTTCTACAGCAATTAATCTTTAACCAACAATTCTTTAGTCTGGGGTTTCTATTAATTCTTATCACTACTTGAAATAATCTTTGCTTCTGCCAATCAAGCAGTTGCCAATTTCTATTGTTTTCTGGATTTGCTTTTGTATTTATTTTTCTCTGTTGTGTTGACAGTTTCAACCTGTATTTATTTTTAATTATTTTTCACGGTTAATTAACTGTACTTGGCTGATCATCTTGTCCTGAGAAAACAAGTGAACATATCAATAGATCTCTTTGTATGTGGTTCCCAAAAAAATATTGTGCATTGCTACATGTTCTTGAGCTATTTGTCCTTCATGATGACCAGCTGTTCATGTTCTGTGTTCTCAAAGGCCTGTATCCATTAGCAGTTCCCTCCATATTTGCCCCCTCTATGGTTTATAGTTAATTGCTCTATGAACTCCTTCCTGTATACTAATTATCTAGTGTCTTAGTCACTTCAGGTTGCTTTAACAAAATACAATAGACTGGGAGCTTAAATAACAGAAATTAATTTTTCCCAGCTCTGGATGCTGGGAAGTCTGAAATCAGGGGACCAGCTGGTGGAGTTCTGGGGGGAGGCTTTTTTTTTTTTTTTTTCTGGTTTGCAAATGGCCATTTCCTTGCTCTTTCTGGCAGTGAAAGAGAGAAAGAGAGAGAGTTCCACGTTCTTTTCTAATAAGGACACTAATCCCATCATGAGGGTGGAGCCCTCATGACCTCATCCATCTAAACCTAATCACTTCTCAATGACCCCCACCTCTAAAAACCACTGCATTAGGATTTAAAATGAGAATTTTGGGGGGAGACGAAGCTGCAATCCATGACATCTAGATACTAGCAAATCAGATTAGTTAATCCACATCTGAAAGGTCTATTCTTAATGTCTCAGGAGTTTTCTTTATTGCAGAACTCCCTCCCCAAGAAAACATAAATGTAAATAAAAAATAGACCGTGGGAATGATTACTGAAATGTTTTTATCTTTCTTTTACTGAAAACATAAATGTAAATAAAAAATAGACCGTGGGAATAATGATTACTGAAATGTTTTTATCTTTCTTCTACTTTCCACTGCATTTTTAAAAATGAAAATCTGAGTTGCCGAGAATTCTGACATATTTGAAGAAATAGGTCCATGTACTTTACGGGCCTTGTCTATGTGATATCCCCACTAAAGGACTGGAAATCCAGGGAAATAATTCTTTTAAAAATTAAGTTATATACTGTGCGATTATTTTGTGTGAGAATTAATGAGTAATTTCTGTGGACAGAATTGAGATGAACTGCCCTAATTCTAATGAGCTGGGAAAACTTTTTCAAGGAGCTGGAATTTACTAGTAATAATAACTAATGGGTATTAAATGTTGCCCATGTCAAAGATTCCTTATATGCACTACACCTTATGTTTAAAATATCCCTAGAAAGCACCCTTTTCTAATTGAATACATTAAAACACAACAGAGACTACAACTTTCTTAAAGCTACACAGCTTTTGGGGTGCCTGGGTGGCTCAGTCAGTTAAGCGGCTGCCTTCGGCTCAGGTCATGATCCCAGGGTCCTGGGATCGAGCCCCACATCGGGCTCTCTGCTCAGCGGAGAGCCTGCTTCTCCCTTTCCCTCTGCCTGCCACTCTGCCTACTTGTGCTATCTCTCTGCCAAATAAATAAATTTAAAAAAACAAAAAATCTTTAAAGCTACACAGCTTTTACTTGCTGACTCCCCACAAATGGAGCCCAGATTTGGACCTAAAGCCTGAGTCTTTTCCTGTATGTCTAATATCTCCCCCCACAAAAAAGAAAATAACAACAACAACAACAAAACTAGAGAAAGAGAATGTCTATGAAACAGGTGGTCAAAGTTAATGAAAACAATGGAATTTGTTCAAAGTTATGCTCTTTTTTCCTTCCTAGCATGTTGTTGAAAACTATTTATAATGCCAAGCTTTGTGATTTTTTTTTCCAAATATCTGAGACACTGATATTTGCTTTCTATTTCTTTAGATACTCTATTCAGAGACATTTTTACTGGGGCAATCACACCACCATTATTCCTTATTATTTAGAT